ATATTTTTATCGGGCATGACGCGTTAGTTGAGGACTGGGCTGCATATATTTTCATATTGGAACGAACGACCTGGGAATATTGTAATTTGCATCGGAGACGGTGGAAAGACTCGAGAGTCACGGCTCGGTGAGGAACGGCCAAGGGAGCCGATTCGAATCGTCGTAATATGCAAATCCCCCCTTTCTCACCCACCCCAACCCCCTCACCACCCCCGCGGCCCACTCCTACTCATCCTTCTTGCCCACCCATCCGCCACACGCCTAGAATCGCCCCTCCTCCGTTCTTACTCCTCTATCTTCCTATTTTTCATTTTTTCGGGGCGAACAAGTATCAGATGATCGTCCGAGGGTCCAATGAGGGTCAAAAATCGGTAAAATGGTATTTGCGACAGTAATTTTGAGGTTAGAAAACCCTCAGCCAAAAAAATCCCTAGGGATTGAATATCCTAGAGACAACCAACGATAACTGGTATCATTGCTCGGACATAAATAGCCCCAGGAAGTGGAACTGATAACAGTTTCACGAAGCAAATCCCCGACTCGTTGATAACCGATTGATGACACTGCATTGTTTCATCGCTGCGTAATAAATTCATAATAGCGAGAAAGCACGGTACAAACATGGAAAACGTGTACATGGATTGGATATATTGCCACCTTCCGGTCCATCGACGGCTTTTACTAATAACCGATAGCCCAACCGAACCGTGGAATATTATAATTGATTTATTGTTTTCACCTAAACTCACCGACCCTGTGCATTTATCAAATTAATGTCTAGCTTTTGGTGCGCTGGTCTATTCGCGGGGGTTTAAAGATTTCCAACAGTTTCAAAATTGTTGGGAAAATTTAGTACAGCCCAATGGGAAAGGGGTTGAAGTCGCAATCTGTGATTCAGCCCCATTAACCCCGAGATTCGTCGGACTTGCGGACAACTTGCGGTTGAATCGCTCCTCTCATTGAACGCATACACAAGTAAGCAAAAAAATAATAATAAAAAGTACTGAATAATAATCGAATGAGCGAAGATTTTCGCGGACTCGTGGGATTTCGTAATTTCGTCTGATTGCAATTGAACTCCCCCCTATTTTCATAAACAGATAATCAATGAAATGGATAACCCACCATTTTTTTTCCTTTATTTATTTCATCCCCTGTATTTTCTTGTGGTTTCAGATTACTCCGGGGAAAGTTACAGCTATTTCGTTCCCGTTAACTGCAAATACTTCCAGCATATGCATTTCCTGCCAATGAATCGGAGCCAAATGTGGAATGGAAAAATATTCTCTGGGACTTTCTCGACGAGAGGAAAATCTCCGCATGAAAACTTGGGATACTTTATTTTTATTGGCAGAACTTCCATCGATTCGTCACAGCACGAATGACAATTGAATTTGTAGATATTCTTTTATAACACATCATATGTACTTGGGCCAAGTTGGGGGTGACGCATAGACCCATATATTTATGCACCCATAGCAGTCACCTCGAACAACAGTATGTGGTTGTGAGAGATCTCATGCATACATTGCTCACATTATATCCTACCGAACCCCGAATTCTCCCATTTATGTAATAAATGAAAATATCCCCCACCCCTTCATCACTGTATTTATGGATTACCGAACATATACTTATTTCACTTCACTCTTATCAAACTGTCCTTTCTTTCCCTGTCCCTTCTCATTTTTTTTTTCTATCCTCCAGCTTCCTTTGGAGATACTCTTTTGCTTGATTGCATCTGGCATTTGTGTCACGCCCTCGAGTGTCCAGTAGTTCGATATGCCACGATAAAATTCCACGGGAATTGGTATTCCACACGAAATACTTCTGGACTCTAGCCGCCGCCGGCCAGACGGATTTACAAGGGCTCTGATCAACTTGACAAGTAGGGCACACCATCAGGTTTAATCGCTTCTGGTTTAGTCTTAGAAACTTCATTATCTGGGGACTAGACTCATCCTATGGGTGATTAATTGCGCTGCTTTCCACTTCTCTATAGGAGATTTCCCATTTTTTTGAAGCACTTGGATCATCCTCTGATTGAAAATTTATCTTTTTTAAAAATTAAAAATCCACTTTTCCTAGTTTACCATTCCACTACTGATGAATGGTTGAAGAATTAGAAGACACGCGTTATAATTTTTTTCGGCAATGAAGATAAATCACTTCGGGATTATCCTAACCGGAAATATTACCAAGAAAAATTGTAAGAGCTTCCCAATATTAAATCCACCCGACTTTCCATTTTTTTCATAATAAATACTTGGAACAGTTGTCAGATGATGCATTATGCGTTCGCAGCTCCGTGAATGGAGTTTTCTTGGCCGTTGCAAAGAAGAATCTTTTGAAAGTTGACTACCTACACTTAAATTCGTGAACGGGGTTGAGGGTGTGGGATAGGGAATAGGAGGGTACAAAATTACGTCAAAAGTCTTGAGAATTTATCGGCGCACTTTTTAAACTCCGCCTCTCCCTACAAGGAGGATTAGCATATTATTTCTATAGGAAAGAACGGAAGCTGAGCGAGATCGAGTCAGAGGTATGTAAGTAGTACGAGTTTTGTGTGAAGAGGATGAAAAAAAAAAAATATTCTACACCCATCGCACAGAATCATCCTCAACGCTTTCATAGCCGCAAGAAAACCATATCAAATATGTTGATAAATGATTTCTTTTGTGGATGAATTGCAAAGTGAGGGCTTTGTATTCATTTTCAAAAGGGAAATACGAATTTTCAGTGTTCTCCCGATGACCGTCCATCAAAAGAGTGAATAAAAAGAAAAATTTGTACATAAAAATCGGAAGATTCCCCATCAAAGGGACCATTGACCGAATTTCCGCTCGACCAATCAGTCCTTTCGACTTGCTTTCCAACAAAATTACATATTCACGATGTCGGCCCCCCGCAACAGCAATTTAAACCTAAAAATATAATTTTCGCAATTCCCTATCTTACCACTGCCCAATCACCACCTGACGGTCGGTGTTGTACCGCCTGTTTTATCGACTGACGGTCGTATAGGTCCCTGCTTTGCAAGCAGTCGAGAATTCAAAATTTTTGAAAAGATATCACAACAGCATGGCCATTGAGAAGATATTTCTCCCCTGATACTTTTTGTTTTTTGTTTGTTCAACTGGAATTTATCCGCTGTAGAACGAGTGGAAGGGGGAAGTCACATTTTGTGGAATTTTAAATGAAAAAAAATATTCAATGTGTAGCAGATATACTCCTATTGAAATAAATTTTTTTAAAGAGCGCGTTGTCCTAACGGTAACGTGCTCGGCTAGCACGCCGACGGCTGGGTTTCGATCCCGCCAACATTCATTTTTTTTTTTAAATAATTCCTATTTTTTGTTTTTTTTTAATGGCTAATTAATGGTAATATCGTTTAAAAATTGAATATTTGAAAATCCAGAAGATATCTAGTGAAATTGAAAAATTAGCAATTTTTTTAAACGATACTTTTGCAATATATATACTAGTAATGAAATTTTATCATTGTTAGTGTGCGTTATCCTAGTGGTAACGTGCTCGGCTAGCACGCCGACGGCCCGGGTTCGATCCCGCCGTCATTAATTTTTTTTTTTTAATAATTCCAATTTTTTCTTTAAGTAGGGATTCATTGCAATTGAAAAATTCGAAATTTTTGAAAAAGTATTAGGGGAACATGACAATCGAGGAGCTCTTCACTGAAATTTTCACTGAAAGTGAAAAATTCAAATTTTTTGTAAAAGTATCAGGATAACATGACAATCGAAGAGTTATTCACTGAAATTTTCACTGAAAGTGAAAAATTCGAAATTTTTGTAAAAGTATCAGGATAACATGATAATCGAAGAGCTATTCACTGAAATTTTCACTGAAAGTGAAAAATTCGAAATTTTTGTCAAAGTATCAGGAGAACATGACAACCGAGGAGCTATTCACTGATATTTTCACTGAAAGTGAAAAATTCAAAATTTCTGAAAAAGTATCAGGGTAACATGACAATCGAGGAGTTATTCACTGAAATTTTCACTGAAAGTGAAAAATTCGAAATTTTTGAAAAAGTATCAGGGGAACATGACAATCGAAGAGCTATTCAGTTTTTAACCAATATTTCGATGGATTAGCCATTTACAAACGAAAAAATTGGAATTATTTAAAAAAAAAAATGAATGACGGCGGGATCGAACCCGGGCCGTCGGCGTGCTAGCCGAGCACGTTACCACTAGGATAACGCACACTAACAATAATAAAATTTCATTACTAGTATATATATTGCAAAAGTATCGTTTAAAAAAATTGCTAATTTTTCAATTTCACTAGATATCTTCTGGATTTTCAAATATTCAGTTTTTAAACAATATTACCATTAATTAGCCATTAAAAAAACCAAAAAATAGGAATTATTTAAAAAAAAAAAAATGAATGTTGGCGGGATCGAAACCCAGCCATCGGCGTGGTAGTCGAGCACGTTACCACTAGGACAACGCGCCCATTCTGATAATACAAATTTATTAGTGGTATATTTTCAACATATTGAATAATTTTTTCCATTAAAAATCTACAAGATGTGGTTTCCCCCTTTCGTACGTTCTACAGTCGGCTAAATTGCAGTTAAACAAATGAAAAACAAAAAGGATTCCTACAGCAGAAAATAAAATTCACCCCGTCGACTTGATGGACACCCCCGCATTGCAATAACAACTTGGTTAATAAAAAAAAAACACCCCAGCATTGCGTGTTGCGCCCTCCCTCTCTTAGGGTGCAGTACTACGATGCCGCTGGGGTAACTCAAACCCCCAGAACTGAGCCTCTACTGTAGTCAATCCTCTTTGCTTTTCTCGTTGGCTTGAAGCGTAATCAATACAAAAATTCCTTAATTATCAAGTTGGCAGTCTTGTGATACCACCAACGAATGAATGAACGGAGCTAATCGCAGATCGACCAATCACAAGCTCTGGCATACAGTTGTCAATTTTTTTTTTCTCTAGTAAGTTTTTCTATCTCACTCTCCCCGGAACTAGGGGCATCAGATGTTTTATATTCAATCGTACATGACATTACGCAGTGGTGTACGGCGTGAACGCCCTTCCGACTGATTTCAACTCACTCCAACACTTCTGACTGGATTTCACCATCGACTGCTGTCAAAGCTCAGATCAATTCGCAATAATCAATTGAAAATCCAACGGGCAGGCCATCTCCATCCAGGTGAGGTATCAATCTAAAATAGAACTTGTGTAATTTTATGTCAGATAAATACTCCAGGAGAGGAGGCGGAATTGTCAGTTAGATAAAAGAAATGAGAGGAGTAGGGATGGCTCCAATTGATGTTCGGAATGTGAAGGGATGAATAATTTTTCATTCATGGTGCGAGCAGCAGATTTCTAGGATTGTATCCAGTTGTTGAATCTTCATCCGGGGAATGTACGACTAGTGACGTTATGACGGGCCTTCTGTCATTTGTTTATCCAAAAATACAAACCCCGTTCAGCCTTGAAATAGACTGATATTGTCATATGTTGCAACAAAACTACTGCGCATGGTAGCTGGATGGCCCTTTTAGTACACCGCGCAGCAACGCAATGACCCATGCCCGTTCATATTGATTTTACAGTTGGCAGCCGACGGAAGGCCAGTCCCAGTCCGATGTTCGAAATCGTCAGACACACATCCTAGTTACTGAATAATCTGGTAAAAAAATCCTGTGCTCCATAATCACCTGGACACTCACCCTCGATCCAGGCTCTTCATCATCATCCGAATTCCTTCTTGATCTCTGCCACTTGAATATTTCGTATTTTCACACCTGCAAGTCCCCAACTGATTCACCAGGACCCAGTGACAGAGTCCTAATTTCGTTTCTCTTCTCTCTTTCAGTTTCAACACGGAAACACGTCGGGCACTGGAGGCTCGACACTCAGACTTGAACTTGAAATAGCGGGAAAAAAGCAGACATGCCAGCACCAACAACAGCGGCAGATCCTGCCGAGGGTGGTGGTCCACCTCGTACGGAACTCCAGGAGTTACAGCTCAAGGCCGGCCAAGTGACCGATGAAGTGAGTATCATTATCATACCCTCACTCTTCTAAATAAATCTTATTTAAAAAATTATTAGACTTATCCCGAGGAATTGATAAAAATAAATGGGGATAGAGTCAAGGGCTTGAAAAATTATAGTCAGCATCTCCGAGGCGATGAAATCTATTGACTCCCTCTGAAATAGCCTCCTCAAGATAATAGAAGCAGAACAAGTGTGTAATTACATTGCCACCCTCCCCCTGGCCCCGAAAACCCCGAGAATAGCTTTCCGATATCTCCAGATGTTGAGCCTAAACTAATTACCCAACCCCGTGCACGAGAATCTCACAAAACTCCCAATTATTTGTTACAGTCCTTGGAAAGTACACGGCGTATGCTGGCATTATGCGAGGAGGTAAGTCCCAAAATTCACGGTTCACAATAGAATATTAATCTTGGCGCTCTCTCTGTCCCCGATCTTCCCCATGTTTCTGTCATAACGTCAGAATCTTAAATCGTCATCAATGCTCATTGACGCTGATGCGTCATCACCTAAAGACTCCGTTAGATCCGAGTCTATCCTTGAATAAAAAATATCTACATGTGAATAAACGCATCCTCTACTTTTTCTTTCGGTTTTCACCCCCCCCTGGGATCGTTTTATCGATGTGCATATACAATGCATTGTGTATTATATGTGACTCATTCCAAAAATATAAAGATTCCCTGAAAGGGAGTGCACGTCAGACTATCGATTCTTCTTCACAACAAGTCGTTTGCAGGATTGCTGTTTATCTCAGAAAAAAATATAATGACGACTGAAATATGAGAAATGTGTATTTTCTGTCTTGAACTATCTTCTGCACAATAAACTTTTGGTGTACCTTTGTTTTCTTACGCAGGTGATAAGACGGATAATATGTGAATAAACAGCATTGAATTTATCACGAAAGCGTAACGAAAGCTATTGTTGTCGTTTAATCGTCGACGTATGTGTGTTGGCCCTTCTATAACTGTCAATATTTTAATGTCTGTCCGCTTGCTTGGCTGTCAATGGTGTGTCTGACAATCTTGATCTGTACGTTTACAAAAATTAACAACAGATTAATATTAATCACGTACCAACGTAATTTATGTACGTGATAATGTATGTATGTGATGTACGTGTGTTGTTTTCTCCATTATTTGATGATTTTTTTTTTTTAAATTCATTTAAATAATAAATTATTGAGACTTGTGCCTTGTCTGGCTGCTCGAGTGCTTGCTCTCACATCCACGCAGACACACCCTATTTTATTTACAACTTGTATAAAAATTAAATACTAATGTGGCTGCTCAAACACATAATCACTGGTACCAGATGATTATTAGAAACACCTATCAGAACTTGTTAGCTAAATAGCCTCACCCCGATAAAAAAAAAATTCGCGCCATAAATAAATATCAACCCCAAAATGTGCATGAGAAGATCAAAAAAATCTATAAGTAATAAATAATTAACAGCCTGGCGGATGAAATCTTCAGATTAAGTGTCTCTACCCTAAATAATACATAACTATCGCTCTATTCTGATACTTCGCCTGCAGTTCACCTCTGTCTCAAACTGTTCTTTTTTCTACCTAATATATATATATTTTTTTTTTCAAATCAATGAATCACCTTCATGGAGAAATGTGTTAAAATCACCCACTCGCTTGTTCATCACTGATTAAATAACAAAACATATGATATTACCTAGACTATTGTAACAGTTCGTACATTAATGCGATATTATAGTGATTATATTTATTATATTGATTATAGTATCGCATTGTTTGCACTTATACTTAATATACTGAATTACTATTATACTGAATCATTTAATACTCCGACTCTTTAACACTCGTGGTGGTTGTGTGTGTTTTGCTGCCTCTGTACCAATAGAGCAAGGAGGCTGGCATCCGCACTCTGGTCGCACTCGACGACCAGGGAGGTGAGTTAAAAGCTCTAATAAAAATTAATAATAGTCATTGCAAGTGTCTGGGAGGGATAGGGAGGGGGCATAATTTTTTTTTCCCACCTTTCTGTTCACATTTTAGTCGTTCGTTTATTATTGCTATTGAGATAAATCCCCTCACGCCACTCCAATCAGTCGTTGATGGCTCGACTATTTATTTATTTGGGGCAATAATGGATGATGACTAATGTGTGCAATATAAATGTTAATGAGAGTGCAAGGTAAGAATTAAAGAGGGTGGATATTTTAAAAATCAAGATATTGAAAAATAAGGGAGTATGACGCGTTGTTCTTGGCCTATCTAGGTTGGTTGGTGGGTACAGTCTTTGTACTGTGGAGAGTAATTGCTAGAGATACAATAAACAAGATATTGTATATTGATATTAACGAACAATCAGGAGTTGACGATAATGAGATGTGACTGTTCTGTGGTATTTGTTTATTTAATTTATTTCGTTATTTGATTATTATTTTGGTCTTCTTTATTTTGATTTTTCATTTGATTTTTTTATTTTCGCTGGATGACTGCACTGGTGATATTTTTAGTTTATTTATATTTACTTGTTTATTGACGATTGAATAATTATGAGTACCTGACAATACATTCCTCAAACCGCATTGATCCTCACTGATTTTTATCACCACAACCACCACCAACCACCACCACACCAAATATCAACGCCACCAGATGATGTATTTGTTTATTTAATTATTCATTTATTATGTTACCATGGAGATTGCCGTTGCCCTATTTTTTTAAAACATGATAATTTTTATATTCAGATACAGTACAAAAGCATTCACACAGCATATCATGGGAGATTATTGGATAAAGAGTTTAATTTAATTTCTTCTACTTATTGTTTCGTCTTTTCACGTTTTTCAATGATTAATCAGATTAAATGGTATCTTCTTTGCAAATTATTGCATATGCTCTGTGCCTCACACCACTATACTATGCTACATACATTCGCATATTAAGAAGCGAGTTCAAGATTATATAATATTTTCAATAGATTCAGGTAGTGTTTTTTTCAATAATCTCAAAGAGCTTGGATAAAAGTCAAAGCTTCATTGTCTCGCTTCTCGATCTAACAGTCATTAATCCACGAGTATAAAAATGCAACTCGCATATATGTAGCTGTAGTTGAATGTTTTGCTGTGTTTCCTAATATAAAAAGTGAATTATTTAAATTATCAGTGGTCCTTCTTCTTTCCTATCCAAGTCTAGGGCATCTGGCCCTGATATATCGGCCCTCTGGTCTATTTTTTTTTTTTTTTTCTGGAAAAGGTACACTCTATGTACAAATTATTGCCACGATGTATTCATTGAATAGAGACGTGTTCAGTATAGAGCACTTTTATCAATTCGTTATCAGTATATGGACGGGCTTTATTTTTAAATTGATGTGCTTGTCCATAAATTCGCCTAGTCTCTTCATCATTCATCACGACTTTTTTCGTTATTCAACTTCAATTGTCCATTAATCCCCAATTTCATTAATGTGTCGTGGTCTTCTAGACGCTTCTAGGTGGTACTTATTATTTATACTGATTATCTTGATTATTATTTTATCACTGGGCACTGCATTGCAGTAATTTGAAGGCATCGATATTTAATGGAACGATTGAGTCTCGGTCAAGTGGTGAAATCAGTCGATCATTTTTTATTGATCGATGATTGAGTGTTATTTATTTATTTTTTTTTTTCATTTTTTCGTTGAACCACTTGACTGGTGATGTCACCCATTCAATCATCATTTACGTTTTAATTATATCGATGGCTGGATCACCTCCAACCCACTGTGCTTTTCCGTCATGAGGGAATTCTTTCCCATTAGTTCATTAGAACTTAGACAGCACTAGAGCAATTTAATTAGAAAACCATTGGACATTAATTAATTAGAATTTTACCCCAAGGCTGAGAGCACGGTGGATTATCCTCGAATTTATTATTATTTTCTTTCTTTTGTTGTCAATTAATTTCGCAGTTTTTAATCATATACTGAATGATGTTTCGTTCCGGTTGCCGAAATACGTTGGCCGTCGTAGAGCGAGGAAGTTGGGGCGAATACTCTTGTGATGTTAGATCATCAAGGCGGTAAGCGTTTATTTTTTTTTTCTGTAAAATTTATTATTATTTGTCTTTCTATCCAACAATTTTCGTTTTTGTAACAGAAATCATTATTGTGTTTCGGGTTATTCTTATGTTCTCACGAGCCTCTCTTGTTGATCATTTTTTTTTATTGTTTATTTATTTATCCAATCCACAATACCTTGACTAAGACAAGTGACAGTCAGTTGACATGATCGAGAGAACATGTACATATGAAACTCGGTACCAATACTTTATTACAAGATAATTTTGACATAGATAGGTTTAGACAGATTGGGGTGATGGAATAGATCCAGCATGGAGTCACTATTATGACAGTACACTAGGCCGGTTGATCAGTCATTTTGACAGAACCCTCTTGATACATCATCATGAGTTGAGGCCGTAGTGGAGGCTAGATTTTACGGTTTTCACGGTTTCCTTTTTTTTTTTTCATTAATTATGTCGTCACCGTGAAAACCCATTCTGCAAACTCGACTACTGAATTCAATCCATAATAATCCTGAATTATTATTTTCGTAGGCACTAATATCGTTGAATAGCTACTAGTTGTTATGGTATATATAAAATATAGATTAGTGGTATGTATCCGTGTAATTACGCATATGTATGCACGTCCAAAAGCCGTTGATAAATGAAGAAAATGAGTAATATAGGGGAGACCGTGGCCGCTTGAAACCCATTCAACTAAGAATAATAATTTATTCCAGAGGAGAGCTTATTGTCAGTCCGTAATATTTCCTAGAGTTGAGACTGTATCATTTTTATCGAAATATAATGACATTCTCATGGATTATATTTCACCGGTGCGAATTAATTACATGGGTTTTTATCATTTGCGTAGTTGACCCCCTACCGCTCACCAAAAATTGCGTTAAACCTCCGCAATATTGAGATGGCAATGACGCCATTGAATAGCCCGGAAAATTTCAGGCGGAATCAAAAAAAAAATCACTCGATTCGGTTCAGTAGTTCTCGAAATATCGCGGAAATTCATTCCGTCGCGAGCCGTGCTGAAAGCGTTGTTTTGCGCACGGCGCGGGTGGCCAGTTTTTCGGTGATATGTCGAGAACTACTGGTCCGAATTGGATCGCCTTTTTTTTAATTCCGTACGAAATTTCCCTGGCTATCCATAGGCGTGACTAGAAATAGTTTATCTGTTGGAGAATGCAAAAAAAAAATGGTGAAAGTAAAAAAAAATTGAGATGATGGTGGCGGTGGCGGGCACAATTGGGGGTCCTCAAATATTTTAACATATCTTATTGCCCGGTTTGCCTGTTTAGAGCCACGAGGTCGGGATGAAAACTCTCGTTATGCTGGACGAACAAGGCGGTAAGCCATTTAACTCATTAGAATACCTAATACCTGATGCTTATACTCAGAAAAAAAAAAAATCTTGTACATGTGAAGAGATGTAGTGATGATAAGGAGGGACCGAGTTTGTTAGACACCACGATAGACAGAATACAGATACTCACATTCTTCAGTATGAATATTGAATAGTACAACAGATAAAACATTGCGATAATTTATTTTATCAGGAGGAACATTTTTTTATATTATCCAGATATCCAACTAACCAAATCACCTACTCCGCCAACCAACCGGCCAACAAAACAGTCTGTTCGAACCATTATTCTGTGATGAGTGAAACATAATACTTGATATGCAAATATTATACTCGAATTATTATTCACATTGTATATCAGTTTAAACGTTGTTCATTATACATGCATTACCCGAATTATATACATTGTTATATACCTTACAAATATGAGATGATGTGTGCCGTATACTTTGTAATTTCGTAGGATCATTGCTTTCAGAACATGGAGAAACGAAAAATTGAGTAGTAAAGGGGTAAAACGTTATCCACAAAAAATTATTATTTTTATTTCATTCCTTTTTTTAGGGAAGCATTTTTGTAGACTTTCCTTAGACTTCAAAGAATGTTTTCATTTTTTTCAATTGTTCATTAGTAGGATTTTTCATTTGTGAGGTAACGGTTTATCAATTCACTACTGTAAAATTGTAATTATTTGCAAATGAGAAATTGAAAGTAGAAGGAAATGATTAATTTGTGTTCTCTATGTTGGATTTTTTTTTGCGCTGATAACCATTCATTATTTCCGTAGATTAGAGTAGAAAACCCAGAACTCTGATGGTTAACTAATCCGATTAAGCTGGAGCAAAAGCTCAAAGTCACACGGAAAATAGCCAGATTTCTGCGGTAGATTACAAACTTTTGTTGAAATCTCACAGGAAAAATAGAATGGCAAGAGCCTTCAACGAAAATCCTTCCGCTCTCATTTATTCATCCGTCATACATTTCCATGTTTTTTTTTTTCGTGAATCAACAGAGCAATTGGACCGAATCGAAGAGGGCATGGATCAAATAAATGCTGATATGCGTGAAGCTGAGAAAAATCTCACGGGGATGGAGAAATGCTGTGGACTCTGTGTTCTACCTTGCAACAAGTACTTCATCTTCAATATATCGATTCAGTAGTGAAGTTGAATCCCTGAGACCTGATCCTTTATTTCGATATCCTGAAACCGGTGGGAGATATCTCAATTTTTGTAAGAACCTTTTTTGTCGAGAATTTCACCAGCTCCAAAAAAGTTCCTACAAAAATGTCTGTACCTCCCCGGGTTTCCAAGATATCCAGCAAAAACGAACCTTAAGTTGAGTTGAATTGATGTATTTAGTTTTGTGTTCGTTGTCTCGTTTTGTGTGAGTATCTCGGAATTTACGGGAGATACCGAAAAGTTTGATAAGAGCTTTTTTATAGCTCTTGAAATTGTCGATAAGAATGCTCCCACGTAATTTTCACTAGCTCCCATAGATTCTGAGATATTTGTGAAGAAATCGGCTCGAAGTGGTTTCGCTACTGAATCAGTACCGATTTCGATGTTCATTACCGAACGAATATCTAATTGAGGATTGGGATTGAAGAGGGGCCAGCTTTAAGGAGGACGAGGGTACGTGGAAGGGCAACGACGATGGAAAAGTCGTCAACAACCAGCCCCAGCGTGTCATGGATGATCGCAATGGTCTTGGCCCTCAGGGTGGCTACATTGCTAAAATCACTAATGACGCCCGAGAAACGGAGATGGAGGACAACATGGGACAGGTCAACACAATGATCGGAAATTTGAGGAACATGGCCATCGATATGGGTAGTGAACTCGAAAATCAGAATCGACAAATTGATAGGATCAATCGCAAAGTGAGTCACGATTATCAGGCTCTAATCGTGAATTATCTCGTAAATGAGCGGCCCCAGAAAAAAATTAAAGACATTCTTCGTTGGATATTTATTAACCTTCGAAAAACGTCAGCACTTTCTCCTGGAGCTACTCGTTTTCGAGATAAATGCGAAAATACTGAAGAAAGTTGATAAACGACGAATGGATTTTTCGCATCTCGTCAAATGTGGGGATTATCTCCGTAACGTGTGATTCTAGCAGAAAATCTCATAGGACATTTTTTTCGGATAATTTTTCGACCTGGAGAAAAGGTCCTATGATTTTTTTTTCTAGAACCACTCGTTGCCGAGATAAATGGATAAATCCCGAGGAGGTCAAGTTCGATTCATTAGCCCATGTCGTATGGACTAATCAATATTCAATTTTTTTTTTCCAGGGAGAGTCCAACGAGACTCGAATACAGGTTGCGAACGAGCGGGCACATCAACTCCTCAAATAAATTGTCTCAGCCTAGCCTATATTTTCCTTGAATTTATTGGATCGTTTAATTCTCCCCATGCCCCAAAATCCTCGTTGAGTCTAGATTTTTTTCCTAAAATTAACGCAGAGAGAAAAACCGAGATGATAATAATTAATTGAATTATCTCTCTGCACTCTTTCAACGCTTAACCGCATCATTGAGACCATTTTACATTCTAATTAGACGGTCGACGTTAAAATAATTCGTTGTGCAATTGAAATTTTTAATTACTTAGTAATTGGCTAGATTTTGACACTGATGTGGTGAGCGGATATTTTATTCCAACAATTGAGACGACAAATTGACAAATTAAATAAATCTATATACTATTTCAGAGAAATCCATTATCTTTTGAAAAAATTCCAATTATCAAATTTATTGTTGCAATGAATGCTAATTAACCACATAGCGATTGATAGACGAACCATTTTATTTATTAATGTTATCGGAGAAAATCATTTAAAAAATATTCAATGGCTTGTTACACTACATATTACCATGCCACAATTTAAAAAAAAACCAATAAAAAGTTGAAAAAAATATAGTGCACAAAAATTTGGGATATTTACGCCCGGTTGACTAAATACATAATTAGGTAAATGAGTGATAAGTGCAGAGGCTGAGAGAAGATTAAAGATTGTTTGGAAGAAATTACGATTGGCGTTTGGTAAAAAAATATTCCTAAATTCTCATTGAAAGCAAAATTTGTTGATTCCTCTAGGGAGGAAAATGTAATTGTTATAGTTATTCTGTTCTTCATGTCCATAATGAACATTCCATCGATCATATTCTAGATATTTTCAGTCGATACCGGAGGGAGGATTGTTTTTTTTTTTCTTTACGAGCGAAAAAGAGAAGTAATGGAAACGGCGCTACATAGACTTCATATTAATTGGCCTGTCCTCACATGAACTGCAAAAACGAAACTGTCAAACAGATAAAATAAGAGTACGTGATAAGGAGCAATATACGAATGAGTACCTGTCCTGCGCAAGTCGTATAGGATGCTTTTTCTTTCAAAAACCCAAAATTTGGAGCGCGACACCATATCGTGAAAGAAAACCCCATGGGAAAGAATGTGCACTTGGTTTTGTACAAGTAAAATGCAAAGAAAATAGAGAACTGTCGATGACATGTGATGAATCATTCATATCAAGCACATGTGACCAGAGCAACAGCATCGATAATTTTTCTCCCTATTTGTTTAGCCATCACAGGGAACATTGTGAATATTTGTAGATATTGAACAAAAAAAAATGTGAAAAGATGAGATTTGAATCTAATCTGAATAAAACCATTCCTAGAGTTTAATATGATATATATGAAAATTATTGAATGAAAAGAGGAAAAGAGAGTTCAATTTTGCGTGCGGATGATAAATGAATTCAAGTGCTGTGCACGGTTTGAATAAATCATTATTTCGTGGTATTTTGGGTTTTTTAGGTGAACAATTTTTTAAGATCCAAAATAGTTATTTAGAATATTGTACTTATGAGGAACACGAAAATCTCAGATATTATATGTATTATAACTTCATTGCAGTCAAAGGCAAGATTTATTATGGTTGCTTATGTACTTAAGTTTCGGATTATAATAAAATATGAGCAATAGATAACAGAATCGGTGGGTGATTATCATTACCTATAATTACGAAATATAATTAAATAATCATGTCTCTCGCGATACAGCCTAACCTAGTGAAAATTATTCTTTGAAGAATTCCACAGATTCTTTCTAATGTTTGGCGAAAATTCTGCCTCCAATTCTTCGATAAAAAAAACATCCACCCAAATCCAATCTCAATTATTTATTAATCTTCAAAAAAATACATTCAAAGGCACGATATAAAAATACAGCGATTGAGATCCACTCAAGAAATCCCATCGGAAAATTGTAAACCTAAAAAAAAATGGCAATTCTCTAGTTACCTCCCTAATCAATATCGATGTTCCGGGTGACTTGTCTCGCCCTGAAGGCATTCCTGGGACTCTGCCTTTTGGGAGTGCCAGCAAGGGGAACGGCCTTGAGAGGTGTTCTCTTCATATCGATCGGTGCCCTCCTGACCAAAGACCTAGTGCTCTTCGGAGTCTTGACAGCCAGAGGTTTCTTGATATGCGGAGTCTTGTAAGTCGGCGCTTCACTCGAAATTCCACTGCCATTAAAATTAATCGAATTCTCCTGATCAGACTTCAGCCTGCCCTCGTGGGTTTTAGGACTTCGACACTTCTTCTTCCTCTCATTTTTATTCGGGGGAGTAATTTTTCCCCCACTACCCCCCGACGAGGTGCGTTGCTGGGCAATCACCTGACTCTTGCACTCATCATCGAATAATTTCGCCTTCGCCAGTACCATTCCAGCATTCTGGGTCCGAAGTTTAGCGACAGAGTCCCTTCCCGTCTGCGTGAGCCCCGGGGATCCATTTCTCCGGAGTAGAATGGATTTTGCCGTGTGTTTCTCAGACTCCAAATAAATACTCGCATTCTTCCACGTGAAGATATCACTCTGACTAGTCGGTATAACTTTCTGCATCTGTCTCTGAGAGTTACTCTTCTTCAAATTACTCATTCTAAGATTGTAATACACTTTTTTCTGCTCGACTTCAGAGATCGAGCTCCCATGGAAGGAGGAGGCCCTCCTGACCTGCTTCAGCCCTGCGACCTTAGGTGACGCCAATCCAGTAATTTGTTGGGACTCGTAATTAATTCCTAGCCCTGATGACCTGGTGTGCTCTGCAGTGTGACTCATCAAAGTGCACAACTGCTGATGGAGAAAATCCAACCTGGCATTGGTCTCCTCACTGCACACCTCCCCGAGCTCCTCTCCCATCTCCTCCTTCGCCTGAACGTATTGGGACGAAGCAAGGGGTCTTGGTTGCTCCGATATATGCCAGGAGGCTGAACGAGAGACTCTACGTTTGCTCACAGGCTTCTCCTGAGACCTCCTCCTGATGTTCCCTATCTTCCTGGCACTCGGGGATCTGATGACTTTCCCATCGGATCCTTTTCTAATCTTCAGCTCTTTTCCCAGGCGTCTCGCCAGTTGATCTGCTGGCGTGATACTTCCAATACTCGCCTCCCCCAGGGTCCTTTCATACTTACTCTGGACCTCGCTAGCTGAGTCCAAGCAGAAGGTGTCGATCGTGTCGATTGTATGGAGTTCCTGGTCAATACGTGATTCTATCGCTGAGACTCGATTCTTTATCTCCTCGTACTCTTTCTTGGGAATTTTAACGTACTCCTCGGGGACTTTCGATGGATTCGGAGGGAACGTCAGGCACCTGGGGAGATCAGGATTCTCGTCGGAGAGATTCACGTCTGCTTCCATGAATATCCTGTCGTATTCCTCTGTCAGGGTGGATTTTGTCCGTTTGTCCAGGAGAGAAGAGACACTGGATTTTTTGGAGTTCCTCTTCTTCGGATTTCTGGAGACACCACTGGCCATGCTCCAGCGTCTCTCGATCACTGGGGAGCGTTCGGGCTCGAGCTCGATGGGCAGCTTGTGACGACTCCTAGAGACGAATCTATCGAGGTTCAGAAGTTTTCTGGATTTGTCCAGCTTCTGGGGTTTCTCTTCTGTTGGATTTGGATCCTCTGATACTGGAGATGGAAAGAGAGCCCTGGGATTTGATTCTCGCTTCTTTTTCGATGTTGTTGAGGGGTTTACTTCTGCAATCTTTCGCTTTTTCGTGGATTTAGAGGGAGACGAGGGCTGCGGTGGCATCAGGGAACGACGGGAGATGGTCTCCTCGGGGGAATTTTTGCCGACGATTTTCTTCAGGCCGTTAAACATTCGTGTTAAACTCCCCGATCTATGCTTCTTCCTCTTGCTCTTGAAGGAGGAGCCTGAGTGGTCCAGATCTGTTCCTGGACTTGCAATACTATCTGACATCGCTGTTTCCATTATCTCTTTTGGTAGAACACCGATTTTACGTGCGTTCTCAATTAATATCTAAAAAATCAAGGAATTGGGGCATTAAATCAACAGATGCATCTCCTCAATAGTAATTAATTAATTACCTTAATAATAGAGAGATGGGCATTGAGCCTATTCTGCACAGCAGCCATGGTGGTCTCCCTGACGGGCATGATATTGGGCCCAACGACTTTAGCCAAATTATCAACACCCATTTTGTTCATGTTCTCGTACATGGCCACCCTCTGGAAGAAATCCATCAAGAAAGCCAGAGTCGTAAGGTACTTGATAGGCAGGAGAAGACAGGCCTGAAGAATAGCATCGACTTTGCAGAACTTGAGCATTCCACATCTGACGAAGAGGTCATGAAATTCATTGGGGATCAGAGGCTCTGGCAAATCCCTCAGGTATTTCTTCAGACAATTGGCAACGTCAATCGCATTGTACTTGTCACCTAGCTCATTCCCATTGTCAAAACGTGCGACAAGTTCCCTCTGTCTTGTCTGAGAACCAGCTTTCCTGAAGAGGCCCTCTTGATTCAGGTGGAGGTCCAGGTAATTCACTGCTTGTTTCACAAAAACTGGTACACTTATCACGGCACCGGTCGATAGCTTTATAGAATCGAATTTCTGCTGAGTCAGAGATACACCGAACACTTTTTTCACACGATTTTCCTTGTCAGTCTTCAGGTGAGTCCTTTTTACCCTCGACTTAACCCCCAATGTTCGAAGATTGTTTGTCACTGCTTGGTGAACTTTACTAGTGTTTGGAATACTGTAGATTAACATCTTCGGAGAGGATTATCTCACTGGGTATGACGAGGGTTTATTAAACTTCATGTAATGATTCAAGGGGAATTTGGAGTTGTCAACAACGGGTGTAAACAATTCTGGGGGGAATTCAGTGCATTTCAAATGAAACAATACCAGCGTAACTGCCATCGCAGGGCTGCCAACGTCAAACAAAGTTCATTGAGAATTTGGCTTTTCTTCGATTTTACGCTGTTGATTGTTGAATGAAAATTATTTTACTCGAAAATAATTTCTTTTTCGAATTCGCCCCATAAATGACAATAATCGCGTCAAGCCAAAAGAAAATGTCAAAATGGAATTCCCAAAAAAATTTGCCGTCCTCAAAATACGTCAAAAAAATCTCCAAACACTCCAATAATTTCTGTATTCATATTTTATTAGCAAATCATCAGAAAAAAAATATATCTTCAATAATACAAATCAGCTAGTAATGTGAAAAACTCCCAAGCCTTTCCTCGAATATGACACATGGCAAAATATTGAACTGAATTCCTTGACATGAAAAAAAAAAATCGCAAAATCTCACAGCCTAGCTGCGGTTGTGCCTGTTCCCCCATCCTCTCTTGTGTGTGTCCTTGTATTCATCCATGGCCCTCTGCTGCTGGAGGAATTCCTCGTCATCCCTCTCCACCTTGGCCTCTTTCTCCAGATCCTCAGGTGTGTCCTGACTGGAATTCTGATTGTTGGCCATGTCCTGAAGACTCTTGGCACTGGCTCCAGCTCCAGCAGCTGACCACTCACCATCAGCAATTTTTTTCTCATAAAATTCCTCGACAGTCATGACAGGAAGACTGGGATAACCAGCCCCAAACACCTTCTTCTGGACGTCATTCTTCGTTATGATGATGGGCCGGAGCTTCGGGGGATGATAATCCTTCTTTCTCGGCTCCTCTCCCTCGTCCTTCCTCTTTTCCATGAACGCCAGGATCTCCTTCTCCTGGGACAGAGAATTGATCTCGTCGATGGCTTTCATGACATACGACTTGATGAGAGTAACGAAATATTTTCTAATGGTTTCGTCGTCGAGATTGGGATTGTCCATCGACTTCTTGAGGATCTCCAGCTGCTCCTGGAGCTCCTTCTGATCTCGGAATCGCTTCAGTTTACCCCCACGAGTGTTCACCATATCCTCGATCATTTTTGTGTTGGAGGGTGGAGGACCTGAGGATGTCTCTCCAGCAGCAGCTGTTTCCTCTGGATTTTTTCTCTTGGGTATTTCCACGTCGGTGATGCCATAGGCCTTGACTCTCTCCAGGAAGTCGTAGAAATAGACCTCTGAGACATTTACGTAGTGCAGGCGATGTGCCCTGTCACAGAGTTTTGTGGATAATGACCCCAGGAGTGCTGGCAAGAGAAAATACTTGACGTTTTCTGTTGGAATCTCATCGAAGTCCTCGTTTGCACTGAACATGTCAGCCATCGACACCAAATTTGTCGCGTCCTCCAGCATCTTCATGCACCTCTTCACCTGGACCTGTACTTCAGGTGTATTCGTTGCCTCGTCGGTTTTCTCCAAGGAATTGAAGAGCTCCAGGGCAGTATCAAATAATGAGGACAGATTTGTATCATTTTCTGACGATTTATTCTCACTTGTTTCCATTTTCGATAATTTTTTGCACTTCACGAAATTTGATTATTGGTTTATTTTTCCTCCCAGAGGAGTTTAGGCCCGACTAGTGGCGACCTCGCAGACTCGGTGGAAATAAAATTAATAAAAAATTCGGAATATCGAAAATTATATCTTTTAACAGCTTTGTGCTCTCAATTTTAATGAAATTAATTCAACAAATTTCGATTTACAAGGAATTATTCCAGTTTTGAGAAAATGAAGGCCATCCGGCCAAATAACTTTCGAAAGATGGCGCCTGTTTTCGGTCCTCTGATTGGCCGGCGTTCCCCTCCCCCTGAATATCGCGGTGGTTTGTTAATTTCGTCGTTTGACGCTGTTTTACGCGGGACAAAGGTAAATAGAAGCATATGCTCGGATAATTTGCCAAAATAATTACTTGAAGCCTCCGAGTGACTCAAATCTTCAACGCAATCGTCACTAGGACATCCCTGATCATCAAGCTGGTGAGTTAATTCCCCATTGTCCCACAGACTCCTTTCAAAAACCCTTCACAACACTTTGAGGTTGTGTTCACCGACTTTCCCCTCCAAAAATAACATCGCAGTTTAATATTTGTCAGAATAATCAACGATCATCAGGATGTCTCGGTCAACGAGACTGCGGAAACCCCCAGCGAGATCCGTTGCTGAGGATCCACCACCAATTGTCGAAAAAATGACATCTCAATCACGAAAAGGTAAAGCTATTGTCCAAAAAGACGTGTTAGTGGAATTACGATCGCCAGTTTTGCGGGACAGAACGAATTTAACGGTTGAGTCACCAAAGCCTGTTATTTCAAAAAAAGGTATTGGCGAGGTGAGAATTGAGTCGAAGATAATCACCAGGACGAAATCAAGAACAAATTCATCAGCCCCGGATGACGAGAAAATCAAGAGGACAATTTCCAGGGCAAAATCGTCGACAAAAATGAAGACGAATAAAACTCCTGTAGTTCAGGTCAAACAGAAAGAGCCTGAAGTCCCTGAAGAAGTCGAGAAGGCGTCGAAAATCCCCAGGATCTCGAGGATAACACGAAAGACATCACAAAGTGAGGCCCGGAAGAGAGTAAATTCTCCCGTAAAATCCGATAACCTCAGAACGACGAAATCACCCCCGAAGACTCGATCTCAGGGTCGGGAGGAAGTCCCGAGGACTAGATCCAAAACATCATCAGGAACGAAACCGAAATCTCCCAGAAAAACGGAAAAAATCGAGAGGAAATCCAAACGTCTCCTCTTGAAACCCGTGGAGAAGTCCCCACAGGAGTCAGAAAAAAAATTCTTCAAGAATAAAAGGAACCTGATAGGGGCTCACTCTAAGGTTTCCCCTATGAAACGAGGGCTGAGGGTACCCCGAAGACCACTGAAAAAGAAAACGTTCTCCTCAGGTTATCAGCCCACTCTGGCTGAGTCCTTTGCAAAAGCAAAAAAGAACCTGCGGCCCAGGAGAACAGGAAAAAATTACAACGAGGAGACGATAATTGAGAAGAAGACATCAAAACCCGGTGACGATCCGCCAAAGGCGCCAGTTTACAAAACCCTCAACACTGAAGAGGAAAAAGCAAAAGACAACGAGGAAGTATACGAGTTCAGTTTTGACTCCAATGACTCCTGCGAACGCATTCCCAAGAAGAGAAAGAAAAAAACGGTGCGGAAGGCGCCAGCCAAAAGGGCTAAGAAGACGACCGAGGCCGTCGGGTCCTCCAAAGCTGTGAAAAAAGTTCCTGAAATTTCTCAGGAACCACCGAGACCTCAAAATCGAGAACAAATTTCCAAGAAAATTAGTGAAAAAATTCCTGAGGATAAACCTGCCCCGAAAACTCATGGTAAAAATTTATTAAATCTTCCTGGACCCTCAGGAGCTTCTTCTCAGCCTGTAAAACCCGGAGGAAATAATCAAAATGTTTTTAAAACCATCGAGAGACCGCAGGAGGACCCAATTCCGTCGCCATTATCCTCTCGAGGAAATTCCCCAGTGGGAGAAATTCCAGAGCCCTTCGAGGTTACTGCGGACATCCACAACCCCTCGGACATTCCTCCCTTCTCGACATCGACCCCGGGACCCTCAGGAATTCCCATATCAACCCCAGGAACTCCTCCCAATATACCTAAAATCCTGTCCGACGTGAATCTCAATGGCGAGAGACGAATCAGTCTGACATCAACTCCTCTCCACGTGCCCTCACCCTCCACAACGAGCACCTTCACCAATCGTCCCTCAACTCAGTACAAAACAATGTTAAATCACTCATTGATCAGGAGATCTTTCTCGCCGATCGTCAAAAATGCAGCAGAGAAAATGGACTCTAATTTTGATCCCAGCAGCCCTTGGAGACCTCTCTCCATGAACACCTTCTCCAGGGTGAAAAATGTATTCCAGAGCACTCCTCAGGGTAAGAGAGTCCTCACGCCTCATGGAATTCACTCATTGGCGACGGAGAACAGGAGAGTGATGGGGAGAATCAACAGAATCGTCGAACACGACGAGAATTTGGTTGAGGGGTCACCGAAGAAGTCCCCGAGAAAATTCGGAACTGTTCTGGGGAATGTAGAGAGCGCCGGGGCTTCATCCAGGGTCTCTGGGGGGTCTGAGGGGAAGGAGAATGAGTTGAGCCCTAGGAAGAGCCCCCCGAAAAGGGTGAGAACGCCCTTGGGAAGTCCCAGGATTATCCAGAAGGAGCAGACGCTCAATCAGACTGGAGAGGACAAACTTCTCAAGCAGTCAAATCTTCATGGTTTCCTGGGAATCCCAGAGATGCCTGTCAGCACGAGTATCACCACTGCTCATGGGATTTTCAATGATGGAGAAGGAACCGTCCGTGGAAAAGAGGTCAGACCTGGGGATTTCAGTTTGGGAAATGCCTTTGGGTTTGAGGATACCTGTGCGGGAGAGGATGTGTCTTCTGGAATGGATGATTCACGAGAAAATGCTCCTGGAGTGGTGCAGGTGGAGGAGAAAATTCAGGAAAAAAATATTCCTGAGAAAGTTGGAAAAATCGAAAACAATCGAGAGAAGAAGAAAAATGTCGAGGAGGTGCAAAAAATTCAGAAAAAAATTGTGGAGAAAGAGAGGACCGACAGGATGCCAACGAGGGCCGTACCCAAGGTCGTGGAGGATTTCGATAAAATTGAGAGGCAGAAAGGAGAGAGCAGCAGCGGAGATGTCAGTGAAGAGGATGAGAGGGTGCCTGGAAAATTGGAGACCCATGAAGCCACAAAACAAAACGTCGTGGAGGCTGTGAGCTTCCTGGACACATTCGATGCTGAGGAGAAAGAGATTGACCCTGTGGATGTGCCATTATTCGTCGATCCTGAGCCTGTACATTTCAAACAGCCCCCAAGATTTTCCTATGGTAAACGTAAAAGAGGTGTTCACTTCAATACCTCAGACGAAACTGACGACAGTTTTCACTCTGATGAGGAAGAGAATCAGCCCATACGTAAAAATAAAAAACGCAAGATGACAAAGGCTGAGAAGGAGCAGCAGAAGAAACTCGACGAGTGGGCAAAAAATTTAAATCAAACATTCGACGAAATTGATCACTTCGATCTCGTTGTGGAGTAAAAAAAAATGAGAGAACGAGATAATGAACTTGAGGGTGAACATGAGTGAGTGATTTTGTCGGAGTTTTAAGGTCAGAATATTTTTTTTTTTCGAGTGACAGATACCACTTCCAGGCTGTTGTGGTGCTCGTCACAACTACTTGTACAAATTCCTCGACTTTTTGCTGACATATTCTAATTTTTTTTTGTTATGGGAGAGATAGATCAGATTAGGTTAAAAAAGCTTTATCTAGCCTCGAACTTATTTTTATAATGGCAATATTCTTTAGTGTTCTAAGCATAAGTTTTTGCTGTCAGATTATAGTATTTTTCTTGTATTATTGTGCCCTATATAACTCCGGTGATGTTCTTATTGTATAAAAATTTAATTATAAAAATCAGTTTCTGAAGACAATCATTGTTTCAATTTTTCATGTGACCGCTATACAAAGACGCGTTATCTCCTCGAATTACTCATGTTTAATTTTATTTCGCTTTCTCTACTGATAAGGCTTTACATCCGCAGGGGGAAAATTAATACAATACTCAATAAAGCGTTGAGAGGACTCTATTAAAATTCGTGGAGCATTTCGAAATGTCCATCGGCTTCAGAAATGAAGTGCATTGTTGTGGTCACGTATTTAGCATACAATGGGGATGAAAATAACCAGAATTTTAATAACTCCCCACCAAATACGGCATGTCGCAAAGGAAAATCGTAATTTAAAAAATTTACCATTTCTTTTACGAGTCAACTGGAAAAACCGAAAATTTTGTCTAGTCGCTGGGGGTGTTATTGGTGGTTTTTATATATTATTGTGCAGTTCTCCAAAAGGAGATATCGATATGACCCAATGGAGAATGCGGTAACAGGCTTTAATCCGTGGAAAGAATAAATAATAGTCGTCACAATGGATTTCAATAAAATAGAACCGGATTGTGGATATTTTCCCCTTTGTCTCGAATCGTGTGTGGTCAGCCGTGTCGCACGTGCGTGTTATAAGTTAATTCTCTCTCTCTTTATTTCAACTAAAAGGGTTGACTCATAACTCGAGTTGAATATAACGAGTGAGTTCAGCTGTTCAGAGTCCGATTTTGAAATCTAATTCGTGATTTTCTTTCTCTTTACCCACTTTGCGGAAAACTGCGCAATGGAAATTTGAAACCAGTTGTACATGTTATCATTTCATTGTTCACAAGTTTTGCCGAGTCACTCCAGGATTTGACGCAGCGCGAAATTATTTCCCGTTTTTTATGGAGTAAAAATGAAAATTCACGCTCACGAAATTATCGGAGATATATCTCGAGAGAGGATGGATTTAGGAAAATTCGTGATCAGTAACTTTTTGCTGGAAATTTTCTCGGCAGTAAAAAAGGTTCAATAAGTTTTTTGATTAAATGAGTCGTTACGGAGATACTCTAGGATATGTGGAAAATAAAAACTAGAGCGAGGGGAAATCGTTTTTTTTTTAATTGCTCGTTAACTCGGAAACGAGCGATTTAGCGGGGAGAGGTCATAAAAAATTTTTTGTAGATAATTGAATTTGCGAGAAAAAAAATCTTATGAGATTTTTCTTTAGACACACGAGTTCCTGAGATAAATCGATATTTCTGTAGGCATGTGGAGAATCGATGATTTAACGAAAGTGGTTTGAGTTGCAGGAAGCAGTGAGGGCTCTGGACAAAAAAAAAAATTATCCTCAATTTATGGAAGGCCTCTTTGGACAAAGTAAAGAAGCCAGTGTGTTTTCTCAGGCCTTGGTAGGATTTCTCAAGGCTCCCCTGATTTTCCGCGGAGAGGCAATGAGATTCCTATCCATCTTGACGTTGTTTCGCCTTTTTTTTTCTCAAACCGTTTATTTTTCCACCTTCTGCGATCTCCAGCATGCGGCTTTATCCCTCGGCCTTCACTTCACACGGAGGAACTAGCTCAAGGCCACGTTGTCTATTGGCTAAGCGAGAGTTTCGATTTTCGAATGGAGAATCAACGGGTTGATACCATCTATTTGCCTTTATTTGACACAAACAAGGGCTTCGAGAAATTTTTGAAGACTTGTCGACAGGCTACAGTAATTTTAATTAAATAAATTCCTCTTATCCAATTATTCCCATGGAAAATCCATTTCCAATGCAATCAGTTATCGGGAAAGTATCGATTGCAATCGGAGATTAACCGCAAAATATTTTGCATATTAATGTGATGAGTCACTCATCTTGTTCGATATTATATTCGCGAGTCCTCCCCACCTTTAACTTCACCGAGAGACACCCACATCAGTGCATGACTCATCGTTCCCAATTCTTGGAAAGCCGAGTTTTTTTAATCCGAAAATCCTCCGCTTAATCGAATTACGTCACATCTTAATTTTCTCCGTGCGAAGGTGACGAGAAAAAAAATAAAGTTTTTTTTTACTTGAAAAAATCAATTTTTCTCGTCAATATTTTTCCATTTTCTTCATTTTTCATATTTTTCATGTCATCATTTTTTCATTCACGACAAATTAACAAAACGCTCTAAATCAATAATCCAATGAATATCAAATTCACATTGCTCTAGCAATTATTATCATCAATTTATTCTGATGATTATTATACTATATAATTATTTTATCGTGCAACAATGAAAATAGAAATAATGAAAAAGAGAAAAAACGTAATATTTTGTATATAATTGATGAAAAAAAATCTAATCTCGAAATGACAAAATCAATCAGCATAACAACCTCCCCCTGCCACCCCCCGTTGCATCGACCGTTCGATATCGACCCTCCCCCACCCAAGAATGGAAACCGACGATGCGATTGGTGGATTCGATTGAAAACGTAAACGAGTCCACGCGGATGATATCATTCACGCGTTAACATCGGAAATACTCGTGTTAAAACCGAAGTTTGCCGAGGTCTTGGTATTCCCCCACAACATGAGTCATCGTGCGGTCATTCAGTGGGGGACAGTACAACTGAGTTTTCACAAAGATCCAAACCGACAGGAGAGCCATTTACCACCTCTAACTATTAAACAATATTCAACTTGATAAACAGTTTAAAATATTAAGTGATAATAATCAACGGTAAGATGAAGCTCGAAGTGTCTGACGTGTTGTACGACAGCTCGAGTATTTCGAGTGATAGTGGTACGTCCCAGAGCTCTCGTGTTAGTCACGATTTTCTATCCAGCATCGCCAATTCCTCGATAACCAGCAATGTAAGTTTATCAATAACATATTGAATCATGGGATGAGAAGAAAAAAATTATGTTGGTACGCAATTGGACCAATGATAAGGGCAATCAGACACCCCTTCCCCCCCCTTTTGGCTCGATCGTATGACGTGCGGTAGTGACGCACTCTGGTGTCATGAACGTGTCTCCAACGTGAATTGACTTTTTTTTTTGTTTTTTTTTTTTCGTTGATATATTGATTTTCCCGTCAAACTATGAAATCTAACGATTATTTTGATATCCCATTTTTTTTTTTAATTTTTAGAAACATTTGGGAGAAGATAATCGAAATAATCGGGGAATTATCAATTTATATAACTTTCGATAATTTTTTATATTCGGGGATTGAATTTTTATTGTAGAGAATTTCTGGTAATTAATCGCGGGGAATTGTGATTGATTTGTGAGAGATTACGGATTCCACTCAATGATTTTTTGGAGTGAATGGATTTTTTATTTTTTATAATTTTATGATGCTCTTCAGGGCAAGGTAATAACAATATATTTAAAAAAATATATGATGAATAGCGCCTGTGGGTTATTTCTGAACTACTCGCTAACAACCACGCATTTTACCACGAGTTAAAAATAATATGAAAATCCGGGGAAAATTGAACTAAAATACCGCAGAACACCGAGATCATCGACAAAAGTGCAATTTTTATTTATTTACGATTCGTCGAAAATAAATGATTATATTGCATGCACAATAATTTCGTGATTGTCGTCAGTCCGCGATATCTTATCACCGGAGAAATAATTTTTCGGTGAGAGTCACGGGTAAAAATAGATGGCAATCAACCAGGCGATACCGATTGTTCGTTGATTACACAATTGCATAGATAAACGGAATGAAATTAATGTGAAAAAATTAATTTTAAAAATATTTATGACCCCATGTATTTATGTTATGGTAGAAAAGGGTTGAAACAGCTGTTCCCATTCGCCCACAATCGCCGCTTATCCATAAAACGCGTCCGGTTTTATTTAATTCTCTCATTTTTTTTTTCTTATCCACACGTGCCGTACACTCTTTTACGGTATCAGCCCCTGGTTGTTACACCAGTGTAAACATCAATCTACGCAGTATTAATTCATATTAATACTTATCAGCTGCTGAGAACTCCGGGAACGACGCGTTATCTTTGAGAATGCAATTTTCTTTCTCTAGGAGAACAAAAGGGAATTCTCAAGGTCTCGTAATAATCCTCCTAACTTTCAAATATTATTTCCGATCGAAGGATGAAAGAACAAAAAAACTTCATTCTCTCGGGGTTATAAATAATTTTTTCAATCAATCCACCCCTCAATACCTGACACAAAAATGTCCATTGTCCCAAGTCCCTCATTAAAATTCACTATATCCGGATTCTGGGAGTAATTACCGTACGGTAATTACTTCCAAATCAGTCGATGAATGGTCGAATTAGCTTCCTGACTGGTTGGGCAATTTTTCCTCTAATGAGTCTCGTTAAATCCATTTTTCCTAATTGCTCTGGAGTTTTCTGCGCTCGTCAAAATGTAATTACTCGAGGGCTTTCCCCTTTAAAATATTTTTTAACCCATAGACCGGGTGAATTTTGCGTACGCATTGTCAAACACCGGATTAAATATTTGTTTAATGGAAAATTGACTGAACAAAGTTTTCTCTGATGATAAATCAGCCACCAGGCACGAGGGAAAGCCAAAATATTGTGAGAAACAACGGAAAATATTATTCCACTGGTGTTGACTCTCTGGCGAGGGTTAAAGACCCTTTGGCGAATCCGAAGCCCCAAATTCGCATGATCATCTATTTCCAGAGCTCAGGGAAATCCCTAAGTCATACACCACGTGTGTCTGATCTTCTTTGTCTCATCCGACGGTTCAGATTTCTTTTTTTCCTCAGGAACGTATCGCAGATGTCGGGTCATTGCCACCTGTCGCTTTTTTTTTTTCAATCAATTGAACTACAGTCTGTCTTTCTCGACGTATCAATGCTGAGTTTAATTAGCCGGAGGACCTCGGGAAAAAAATATTGCGACAACTTTTGAGTCATTTTATTTTGAAGGCAGCCAGATTTATTGTCTTGTTTTTCACCCGGGAATGGGATTAGGCCGCTATTGTCCAGGCCCTTTTCTGGGACTGAGTCATACGGCTCGAGGGGCCCATCCG